GAGACATAAAAGGACGGCAACCCTCTCTATTCATGTCTCACACGTCCTATTTGAAGACCCTCCAGTGAGTCATTTGACATTACCACTGCTATTCCATCTATATGTCATTGTATGTACAGATCAACAAGTTTCTTCTGAAAGGGCCACATCGTAAATATTCATGGTTTGGGAGGCCACGCTCTGTCACAAACCACTCACCTCTACCACTGTAGTAGTAAAGCAGTCATAGACAATAAATACACACATACACACACGAATGAGCATTACTATGGGCCAATACAACTTTATTTACCAAAGTACATGACTGCCCGGATTTGGCTCTGGGCCTATAGTTCACCAAGACCTTGTAGAGTTTTTCCAGAAGGCCCCACTCTATACACCACACAGATAACAGGAGTTGCTTGGCATAGTAGGGCACAAGAGGTCTGATGACTGGGACCTGGCTGGTCCTGCTGTACTAGAGAGTTGCTCCTGAGTCACAGGACTGTATCAAGCAAGGTAGAATGGCCCCATACAGTCTCCTTGCCTGCATTCTGCAGACAGATGACTGGCTCTTTCTCCCTTGGAGTGGCTGGTGGGTCTGAATGAATTGCCAATCTTTGGTTAGCAGCCAAGTGCTTAATCACTGAGCCATCAAGGTTTCTGGGGGCCTGGGTAGAAAGGATTTACTTATCACCGAATACGTTTATATTATTTTATCCTAAAAATAGTAAAGTGGTTTAAAAATAAAAAGACAAGTTGATTAGAGGGAAATCTACCCCTAAGCCACTGTCATTGAGTTGATTCTGATTCACAGTGACCTTACAGCAGTTAGGATTTCTAAGGTTGTAAATCATTATGGGAGCAGATAGGCTCAATGTTCTCCTGCAGAGTAGTGGGTAGATTTGAGCAGCTGACTTGGCATTAGTAGTCCAATGTCCCTCTGGGATCCTTAGGAAGAAACAGTAAAACTTGAAGATGTACTTATTTGGGGAGCAGCAGAAGCGTATGCTTGTTGGCTGCCTGAAGGTCTTCTTTGGTGAATTGTCTATTCATGCCCTCTGTCCATTATTTTTAATTGGATTCTTTGTCTTGTTCGTGGTTGACAGAGCAACTCGAGATGCTTCAAAGAGGTTCAAACACTGAGAATCGGTGGGGGAGGGGAGATTCTGAGAGGTTCGTGGGCAAATTTCCAATTTCATTAGAAAGAACTGTCAAGAAATCAAGGTCCACTCTATGTCGGCAGGTTATTTCCATATAAATAAATGAAAAAAACCCTGTCCGGGAGTAGCACATCAGTTCTCATTCAAATCCACGTGGATCGTTCTCAGTTAAAGAACAACCCCTTTACCACAGTGGATGTATTTATCAGACAAGGAGCTAAGCTCTAAAATTTTCAGAAAAATGTAACAGTTCAACAAGAACCCAATTAAAAATGAGCAGAGGACATGAATAGACAATCCACCAAAGAAGACCTTCAGGCAGCCAACAAGCATATGATGAAATGCTTATTTCATTAGCCATTCCAGAGATAGAAATCAAAACCCTGAGATATCATCTCACCCTGGCATCCATAGCCAAGTTTAAACAAACCAACCACAACAATGCTGGCAAGGGTGTGGAGAGGCTGGAACCTTGTATACTGCTGACGGGACTGCCAGAAGGGGAAACTACCTAGGAAAGCAGTCTGGTGCCTCCTCAAAAAGTTAGTAATAGAAAAATCATGACTCAGTGCTCCCTCTACTTGATATACATCGTGGTAGTCACCTAACTGGTGTCAATTTAATGATTAAGAGTGTAGGGGTGGAGTCTATGTTGTCAATCTGGAGATAGCCAATGAGTTCTGTGGGCATGGCCTTCTCCTGAGAATTCTGGTACTTCCTCCTTGGAGGCGGAAGACACCTCTCTCTCTCTCTCTGCTATTTCCTGGGAGACGTTGCAGAAGACAAGACACATGGATGCAACCAGCCCTTGGAAGCTGGAG